GACAGACAGACAGATAGATATACAGACAGAGACAGACAGATAGATACAGATATAGATATTGATAGAAATATAGATAGATAGATAGATAGATAGATAGATAGATAGATAGATAGATAGATAGATAGATAGAGATAGACAGACAGACAGACAGATAGAGTTGGCTAGGTTAGGACAAGATCTGAGCTGCAAACCCCCCTAAAACCACCAGGGGGCAACTAAGAGACACAGAACATTCTCCCTTCTCTCGGTCGCCCTCAAGCAGCCCTTGCTGATTTTGCAGCTCAGATCGGGTTGCCTTGTTCTCAGAGCCTCAGACTTATTCCACCTTATTTATTTTCCCAAAACTTATCGATGGCTCCGTCAAAGCCCAACTGGCTTCCTGGAAAAGTCAGCTGCAGCATTTCATGGCAACTTAAGACTCTGTCTGCAAAGATAAATGGCCACGAGATCACACACACACACACACACACACACACACACACACACACACACACACCCTCCGGCATCTCCTGCCTCGTTCCAGCCTAGAAAATTGCTTTGATTTCGCTTCTCACCCAACAAGCTTCTCCAACTTCTCTCCAAAGCTTCTTCAGCTTCTCCCCGAGCCGAAGAAGCTTCTTGGATGAGAATCTCCATAGATTTCCCACCGCCTTCCCCATTGACTTTGGGACAGTCGCAAAACATGATTGTGTGACCACCAGGCAACCGTGATGGCCATCAGCACAAGGAAAGCTCATCGCTGCCTCTCATTCAGGCATATTCACACTGACCGAGGGTAAGTTCTGATCGACCGGATGGATGGCCATGAAATGAGGGGAAAAAAAACCCTCCTATCACCAGGGTAAGGAAGATGCTCCAACGTTGTCTCCTTGCTCAGGCTGGCCAGAGTTCTATTTCTCAAGTCGGGGTCTCCCCCTCAACCATCTTGCTTTCTCAAGAACTTCTGAAGGCCACCTGCAATTTGCAGCTGCTGCCTGAAGATGGCAAAACAATCCCATCTTCTTAATTTCATGCAAATCGCAGTGTGTGCGCTTGTGGTGAAGAGGGGAAGATCCGTTGTATTTGCTGAAGATCCGTTTCAGCAAATGGAATTAAGAGTATTCATTTATTATTATTATTATTATTATTATTATTATTATTATTATTATTATTATTATTATTATTATTATTTGCAAACCTTAGGATGCCTACAGATGTCCTAAGGATCGTAGTGTTTACCAGGATGTTTTTCTAGAAAGAGAAGCCAAGAAACTCCAAAGTCTGAGAGCAAAAAGACGGAAGGGGCACCTTGTCCGGGCGCTGCAGTGGCTTTTTGAACCCGGGTGCAAAATGCAGACGCCCAATTGCCTTCCATTGCAGTTCCCTCTTTGGCTGTAATATCCTGACCCTATTTGTTGCCTTTTTATCTTTTTTTTTTTTTTTTTTTTTGGCTTTTACTGTCTTGCCCTGATGACTCCATTTTTAGGTTCGTCAGCGAGGCGCGCGAGAGGCGTAATTAGTATTCCATGGATTAAACCGGTGGTGTAAATTATTAAAGACCTAATTCATAAAGGCATTACATATACCATATGCAGGGTTTTTTTTTCCCCCTTTCTCTTTCTTGCTCCTGGTGGCATCCACCTCAGTTTTGTAGAAGTCACTTCTTGCTGGACCTTGTAGCAAGGAAAGGAAAGGATCTGGGCTGTTAAGACGATTTCGAGGGTTTCTTAAGAATTAAAATTTCTCCCTTTTATCAAACAGGGTGAACCTGCAGATCCTGGGAAAGGGGCTTTCTTCTCCCCTTGGCAGGCATGAAGCCATGTGAAGGATTGCTTTCTTATCTCTGGTTGAAGCAGGATGCAAATCTTCTTGCTGAAAACAAGCCAGCTTTCTTGCGTGTAGAAAACTAGCAAACCCAACCTCCTCATTTTCCTCTGAAATGCTGTTGTTAGTTGCGAAGTTATGTCTGACCCATCGTGACCCCCTGGACAACGTTGACCCCAGGCCTTCCTGCCCTCTACCATCCTCTGGAGTCCATTTAAGCTCACGCCAACTGCTTCAGGGACTCCATCCAGCCACCTCGGTTACAGGAAGTGGGCCTGGCTAGTCTAGTGAAGAGAAGGACTAAGGGAGACAGGAGAGCAGTCTTCCAATATTTGAGGGGCTGCAACAGAGAGGAGGAAGGGGTCCAAGGCGCCTGAAGGCCAGACAAGGAATAATGGATGGAAACTGAACAAGGAGAGATTCAACCAGGAAATAAGGAGAAACATTCTGACAGTGAGAACAATCAACCCATGGAACAGAAGTTGCCCTCGGAAGTTGTGGGAGCGCCATCACTTGAGACTTTCAAGAAGACATTGGACTGCCATTTGTCAGAAATGGTGTAGGGTCTCCCACTTGGGCAGGGGTTGGACTAGATGACCTACAAGGTCCCTTCCAACTCTGATTATCTGTTATCTGTTAAATCTCTGTCTTCCACTTCTTCCTTTGCCCTCAATCCCAGCATTTGGCTCTTTTCCAGTGAGTCCTTCCTTCTCATGAGGTAGCCAAAGTCTTTTGAGTTTCGTCTTCAGGATCTGGCCTTCTGAAGAGCAGTCAGGGTTGATCTCTAGAACTGACCGATTGGATCGCCTTGCAGTCCAAGGAACTCGCATGAGGCTTCTCCAGCACCAGAGTTTAAAGGCCTCCATTCTTTGGCGCTCAGCCTTCCTTGTGGTCCAACTTTCATAGCCATACATTACAACTAGGAGAACCATAGCCTTGAGTATACTTTGAAATGCTAGCAAACATAAATAAGGGGAATACGTAAACGTTACATCGCATGATTTTTGAAGACTGGCCTATCGTTGGCTTGGAGATCTTCTACTCTACTCTCTGGCCAGGATAGGAATTCCCCAGATTCTCTGGGATCAATGTCTGTTCAATCTTGGCTTCAAAACCTCCAATGATGGAGTTTCCATGACTCCAGGAGGCAGGAAGTTCCCCTGCTTAACAGCTCACACAATCAGTTAACTACCCGGTATTTGGAAAAAAGCCAAACCCAGATCAGGCGGGACTAGAATTCCCAGTCTCCCAGTTTCTAGCTTGATGCCTTAACCATTACACCCAACTGGCTCTATAGACTCTGGTTTATAGATGCAAGAGACTGGGTTAACCTCTCTTGGTATGTCAACTCCCCCCAAAAAACATGACAGCCATCCATTCTATCCATCCAACATAGATGTCTCTAAAACCTAGATTCCAGATCACATTAGAGATGACTTTTGACAAGTTCACTTACTGATCATATGAAGTTACAAGGGCCCTGAAAAGTCACTTATGCCCATTGTTCACACTTATGACCATGGCAGCATCCCAGGGGTCATGCAATTTATTCAGTTGCTTGACCATTGACTCATTTATGATGGTTGCTATGTCCCTTTGGTGACCTTCTAAGAAGCTAAGTCAATGGAGAAAACAAGTCACTAATAACCGTGTTATTAATCTAACAGTGATTCACTTAACAAATGTGCCCCCCCCCCAGTCATAAAATCGGGCAACTCACTCAACTGATTTCTCACTTAGCAACATCAATTCTGGGCCGAATTGTGGCCGTAAATGGAGGCTTACCTGATTCTGGAAACTGAAGGTCACAATGGAACGTATTCCCTGACTTGTTAGTCACATGAAGACAAAAGTAGGTGGTTGTTCCTTTCTCAAAAACACCGCATACCCTCCCAAGACCGTTGAGTTAGAAACCCTCACCAGCACAACAGTAGATCCACTCTGAGTCTGTCTATGGGTTGTCCCAAAGGTGCTTTATCAAGAGGCAACTGTTGAGCTTGTCAGCTCCAAATATGCCTCACAGCAAGTCAGCTGGCCAGGTCACCTTATCTTTGCTGCCGCTGGATCTGTATTTCTGCTTGTGTGCTGGCAGATGGCTTTGGAATGTCTCAGCAGAGCTGAGGATGGATTCTGCAACAACTGCGAGGCTGCAGGATGGATTCTGCAACAACTGCGGGGCTGCTGGAACTGGCTCTTTTCATGTATTGATGTGGTGCATATTGTTAAAGGGGGTTGGGGCACATACAGATGGTAATTAAGACTTAGGTTAAACATGGTGAAGGTGGCACCAGGTGGGGAATTAGTGAGGGTTGGAATAGGGTAGGGATGTAGACATGTTATAGGGTTAGTAGCATTTAGGGGTAATGGGTTAGGCAGGGCCAGAATTAGAACTGTGTATAGGCCTGGGTGTGGTAGGGTGTGTCTCACGATAATGGTGATAAAAGGAAAGGGAGCAAACTCCAACCCAACTCTAACCTTGCCTGGCTTTTAGCCATTCTTGCCTGATTAAGAGTATTTGTTGTTTGATGCTATATTGAATAAACCATCATTGTCCTAAAGAGGAGCTGGAGTTTGGATTCATTTAAAGACAAATCTTCAATACTCAAGGACTGGCTGAGAGCAACTGGGCTTCTTTTTTTTTCCTTGAAGAGGTTTCGCTTCTCATCCCAGAAGCTTCTCCAGCTCTGAGAGCAGAAGCACTTTCTGAGAGAAGCTGAAGAAGCCTCTCGGAACAAGAAGCAGAACCTCTTCAGAGAAAAACCAGAAAAGCCCAAGTTGCCTCTTGGGGGTGGGGAAACACTTTTGGGACAAGTCTCGGAGTAAGTCGGGCCTTCTCCCTCACTTGGCTTCTGTGTCCCATGACCAACTACTGGAAGGAGTCAACTGGGGGAAAGAGAAGAAAAAAACGCCACGAGAATTGAAACACGAGACAAAAAGGCACATTTTAATATTTACAAAGCATAGCATTTGGGCCAGGAATGCACCCCACACATCTAAATAATGAATTTCTCTGCTCCCTTTCTTGGGTCATCCTAGGCCTAGACCTTTGCAAATGGCGGCTCGCACCCCCACCCTACCCCGTTTTTTAAGTATTCCTCTCAACTTTTGATATATTTTGTTTTTTCAAGTATAGTAAGATTCAAATTTGCATAGTGTCTGATCAGCAAACCCGCTCTCCTGTGGCCGTCTCTCTCAGATCCACGGCCCCGTTCCCAATCCGTTCTCGCTTGTGCCGCTCTCGGCCTTTTAATCTTTTAGCTGCGGCTCAAGAATAATAAAACCTCCCGTTTTAAAAGCAGGAACTCTTAGAATATTGTCAAGAAGTTTTAAAAATGTAATACTGTTTATTTTTGCTTCAAAAACATTTTTCAGCATTCTAAACATACAAAAAAAAAAAAACAACGTAAATGTTTTGTCGTAAATTTTTCTTTTCCTTTTTCCCCATTTCTTTCTTTCTTTCTTTCTTTTTTTAAGTACAAAGGCGTTTTCGAACTTCCCTTTGAAAAGCTGACTGTGGAAGGAGACTATTTGACAGCTCTGGTTGGAAAAAAACGACCCTCCTTTCAACAAAAAGAAAAAAAGAAAAGAAGAAAAGAAAAGGAAAAAGAAAGACAGGAATCCATAACAATTTCTTGTTTTTATCTCATGCCAGCTGAATTCCCCCCCCTCCCCTTCTTTCACAACTAAGAATGGCCGCAGAAATGCTATTTCACTATATACAGAAAGACAACTTTTAAGCTAAATGTACGCTCACTGTAGTGTAAATTAGATCTACTTTCGTGGTGCACGCTTTGACACATGGCCTTTCCCGGGGAGGAAGGGGAAAAAACATACAACAAAGAGGCTTTCCCCCCCACAACACCCCCCTTAAAAGCCTTCCCCCCCACCACCTCTTCTCAGGGAGGAGGGTCAATCAAAGCATGAACTACAAGAATTTGTCTAGTTTTTACAAACTATAGATATGTACAGTTTATAACCCAGGATTTTTTTCTAGCCAATAACCATATAGTTAAACACCACCTTAAACAAATTAAAAAATAAGATGCTTGAAACATTTTTTTAAATGCTTTTGTTACACCGACAGGAAAAAAGTGCACAGAGTTAGGAGAACACGAGAGTTTCCATTTTTGTTTCCATTTCGTTTTTTAAAAATGTTTGGAAATATGTACAACTTTGTTACACAGGTGGGAGCCCGGGAAAGGTCCCTAGCTACTGAATGTAAACCAGGTTAAACAATGGTTGTGGTTTGTTGATTTTTCCCTGCTTTTGTTTCTGCAATTTTATTTCCCCCCTCCCCCCCGCCCCCAGAGCGCTTTTATTGATGGGACTTCCCCCCCCTCCCCCACCCCCCCAAAAAAAAGAAAGGAAAAAAAAAAGGCTACAGTATATTGTGATCAAGAAAACCAAATTTTGGGTGGTAAATCTTAATAAAGGACAAATAAGGCACCATCTCAAGTGAGAGGTGCTGGATTTTTTGTGTGTGTGTTTCTCTTTTCCAAATGGTGTTTCCCCTACTCTATGGTATTCACATGGAAACAAGGATTATACACAGTTTCTCATTCATCGTCTTCCTCCTCCTCCTCCTCCTCGTCTTCCTCATCTTCCTCGTCTTCTTCCTCCTCTACTTTTTTCCGGGCGGCCGCGGCGGTTTTGGCTGCTGCGCTTTTCGCGCCGTCAAACTTGCCTTTCGATTTATAATCTGCAACATCCTGCAAATATTCAAAACAGAGAAAGTTTTAGTTTGCCTTCTTCTGCAGCAACGACACGGCAGCTGGAATTCTGGCTGCTTTAGGTCCAAAAATTAAACCTGGGTTTAAATGGCCAAGACCGAAAGCGCGGCTGGTTTATCTCCAAACTTTATTCGATGCTTTAAAACTGGCTGAATTGGGAAAAAGGAGGACACTGTGATTCCCACAAACGGATGAATGGTTGCAAAAATGGAGTTGACAGAGAATGGCTAAATTGACTGCTTTGAATTAAAGAAAACAAACACACAATACTTTTGTCTCTACTTGGAAACTGCTTCTGGACTTTGTGCTTGAGGTTTATTAGAATTCAGAATAGAATAGGAGCAGGAAGGGACCTTAGAGATCTTCTAGTCCAGTCCCCTGCTCAAGCAGGAGAATCTATACAATTTCAGATAAGTGACTGTTTTGGATTCTTCTTAAAAACCTCCAGCGATGAAGTGCCCACAATTTCTGGTGGCAAGCTGTTCCACTGGTTAATTAACCAATTGTTAACTGGTTGCTTCTCTCCTTGATTAGTTTCCAACTCTTTCTTGTCCTGCCTTCAGGTGCTTTGGAGAATAATTTGACCCCCTCTTCTTTGGGGCAGTCCCTCAAAACTGCAATCATGTCACACCTAATTCTTCTTTTCTTTAGACTAGCCAGACCCAAAACCTGCGTTTTACCGATTAGATAGGTTTGTTGTTATAGAAATGGCTGCTTTACATTACTATGTAAGAGTAAAAAGTTGAGATTTGAAGCTATTATCTTATTCTACTGCACCAAATCAAGTTGGAAGTCTTTTTTTTCCCTTCCCTTCTCTCTCCCCTATTTTTCTATTTTATATTATAAACTAATTTTAAAAAAAACCCGCCTGAATTTGCATCAGATGCCAGAAACCAATGCTTGCCAGCCACTCACTAATCAAAGTGAAGCAAGATACCAAGATACTTGGAAAGTTTTACTTCCCAAGGAGAACTTTAGAGTTTCCGCTTGCTCTGTCAACATAACTATCCTTAAATCATGCCACAGATTCCTTGTTTTTGTTGTTTTTACAACAGATGACTCGGTGCGTTTACTGGGATTAATTCTTTCAGCAGAACTTGGAAGAGGCAAAAACGGTCACCATATAGCAAAAACACATTCCTATCTTCACTGACTTTAGGGAGTTTTTTTTTAAAAAAAAGTCAGTTAAAGGTCAGAAACACATTGCGTGAAGCTTCCTACATGGGAGGAGTTAAAACATTTCTGATTTAGGGGAAAAATATTCTAAAACCCACGGATGTATCTGTTGGGACACTTGGCTAACGATTAGGAAGGAACAAGGAGCCTTTAACTTAGAGCCACTTGTTTTCATGACAGAGGGCAGAGATAGTGCTTAAAACCACTCATTTAATGACAGTTGGAATGTAAGGTCATCGGAAGAAACGACGTACAACCCATCCTCAAAGTTACGACTGTCATACCACCACCGTGGTCACAATCCGGGCACTTGGAAACCGACTCGCGCTTATGACCGCCAGTGTCTCCAACTGGCCTGGATTTACCAGGATGGCAGCATTCTCAGCCCTCCCCCGATTATGGCTTGTTTTGTGCTGGCTTCCAACAAGCCGGCAAATTTGTGGACTTTGCAACTTTAGCGTTTTGCTGGCTTCCAACAAGCAAAGTCAACGAGGTGGGAAAAAGAGCTGAATTCACTTAACAACCGTGACGATCACGGTCAGAAAATCGATTCTAGTCTCAGGGTGGTTCTTTCAACCACCACATCACTTCGCAGCCAAATTAAGACTCCTGGTGATTTTATCAAGTTCATCTTTTGGTACTTTAGCAAAAATACTTCGGGGATTTTTCTCCTTTCGGGTTGGTTTTGTGAATTTGCAAGCCCGACATCCTATTTACCAATAGAAAAATCCTATTTTCCAATAGAAAAAATCACGATCCAGTTAAGTAAATATCTGTAGATCGAAGTTGGACGGTTGGGTTCTCCATGTTCCTCTGGATTTGGGTGCCTTTCTGAAGATTGTCAAGTCTTCCACTACCAGTCTAAGTTACACCATCAGTGCGGGAAGGAGTGGCGTTCGCTAGTTGTTTACACGTAATTAGCTTGGCTTGCCCATCTTAGCTGGGGTGTGGTTTTTCCCCCGATTGTTTGTCTGCCGCTGCTTCTTGCTTGTCTAAGTGTTGCCAATTGGATTTGCTCTAGGCTACTCCAAAGTTGCACCAGAGAGACAAATCAAGGGAGAAACAATATCCAAATCAAGGAAGAAGCCACACCTCAACCCAGGCCACTCCCCCATGGCACTGATGAGGTTACCTAAGCAGGTAGCGAAATGTTTGCAGGGAACACCACACCAACAGCCCAATCCTCTTATCTGCTGCTGGAGGAAAAGCAGACCACCAATAAATGCCAGTTCAGAACCCCCCTTTTTAAAAAAATTACTCAGCACTTTCTGAGTAGATGATAGATAGGATAGATAGATAGATAGATAGATAGATATTCAGGCTTGGTGTGGATGCTCTGTTAACCACCAGGATATGCAACAGGGCACATTCGTGTCTGACCCAAAGCATCTCCTCTTTGCTTCCCTTCTCAATATTGTTCACGACTATTTGCCGTACAAAATATGTGATTCCAACAGAAGGGAATATTTGACGCTCAGGACTGAATGGTGGGCTCCTCAAAAGCTCTCTGAGCTTGACTGTTTTCTTGCAGACATTTAATTACCCAACTAGGTAACATCCTCAGTGCTAGAAGGGAGTGGAGTTTGCTTATATTTTTATATACCACTGGCTTGGTTGTAATAATATGGACGGTTACTCAATTCGGCTGTTGTTTACTTGACGGAGCAAGCCACTAGTATATAAACAGACAGCAAACCATGCACCCTTCTAGCACTGACCATGTTACCTAGTTGGGTAATGGAACGCCTGCAAGGAAATCAAGTGCAGAGAGCACCCAGGACCCCAAAATATAGCGATTAAACCAGCGTTGTATTCTTAGATTCGCTCCACAAAGCAAGAACGTCCCATGGATGGGCTTGTCCCAGACTGGTTGCCATCACCTTCTCTCCCTGGACCAAAGCTAACCCAGAATCCTACAGACTTCTTCAGCAGCAGTAACTCAACCTTACCTTCTCATACTTCTCCTTCAGCTTGGCGGCTTTGTTGTTGTAGGGCTGCTTCTCGCTGTCACTGAGGTTGTTCCACATTTCGCCCAGCTTCTTGGCTACGTCTCCGATGGAAATGCCTGGATTGGTGGACTTGATTTTGGGACGGAATTCCGAGCAGAACAGGAAAAATCCAGACCTGGAGGAGGATACAGGAGAGCTGGAATTGGCAGGCGGTCAAGAGCTTTGAAGCCAACTAGGGTGAGGTGGCTTCTAATGAGACAGTGTAAGGATGATAATGCACAAGCTTGCATGGCTCTTGTTCTAGTTTCTGACACTGGTGCCAGAAGGAGCTACTAAGTCCCAGCTGGGACTCAGCAAAAGATTCAGCTCCCATCCTCATCAACCCCACCAAAAACTCCCCAAACGCACCAGTATTATTCTCAGGCAAGGTCACAGTCCATCCCCTTTAGCAAAGTTAAATCCAAGCAGTGTATACAGAGATAGGTTTAACAGAGTCGGAAGGGACCTTGTTAAGTCATCTAATCAGTCAGGAGGAAAATTCAAACGGGACAGGATAGTTAAGAAACCCGAGTTAGGAATTATCCATTTTAAATTTATTTTATTTTATTTTTTAAAAAGAAAACAGCCAGGCCCGATTTTGAGAAGCGGTTCCCTCCATGGGGCTAAATCCAGCTGCAGGGAATTTCGAGGATCACAAAGGCCCTCTATCTTCCAAAACTGTATTCTTCCAAAACATCTGGATAGAGGCCCAAAGTCTTGTGTGAAATCAGAAGAGGAACACTCGTCAAAATTGGCTGAAAGTTGACTGCCACTCGTGCAAACGGCAGTTGAAAGTTGCAGCTGCTTTGAAAGCAGCTTCTTAAAGCCGCTGCTGCTGTAGTTCTAGAACGCTATGCTATCCATCGCCTGCCTTATTCAACTGCTTCTAAAAATGAACCAGAATTGAGGGGGTTTGGGTTGAAGGCTACTTACGGCGGCCTCTTGGGTGCATTTGGATCCTTCTTCTTCTTCCCACCCTTCGCTGGACCGTAATCCTTCATTTCTCTATCATATCGTACTTTGTCAGCTTTCGCCATCTCATCAAACTTCCCTTTCTCTTTGCTTGACATGGTCTGAAAGACAAAGAGAATAAATCATCTTTGTGTAACGGCCCCATAATCCCTTGCGGGGTGGAGTCTGGGCAACTGAATGAAGCAAGGAGAGTGTTTACTGGCCGGATGCCCTTCCTGTTGCCAGAGTGGAGTTTTGTTCAGTTTTGTTCATTCTCGGTGTTCCCAGAGAAAGAAGTATCTGCCTCTACTTAGGATTGAACTCACAGCCTCCTGATTGAGAGGTGAGAGCTCTGCCCCTAGGCCATCGCACCACTCTTACAAAGAGAATAAAGGACTTCTACCAAAAAAAAAAGAGAAAACCCCAGCCAACAAACTCCAAATGAAGTTGTTAAAGGAAGTAGAACCACAGTTTCAGAATAAGAATTGGGGAGAAAAATCCTTTGATGGGATTTTTTTCAGCTACTTGTTCAGGTTATCGCTCAAAGCATCAGAAGAGAGACAGGGTATCAGGGTCAATTCAGATTCAATCTTCAAAAGACAACGTAGTGTACGGGAATGTGAACACAAAGGCCTAACCACCATGCTTTAAAGCAACCATACAATGCTTTTTTGTAGGTTTTTGTAGCTGCTAAAAAGGACCTTTTCTTCTGACCTTTTCTTTTTCCTTCAGAGAAAACATACAGCTGTTTTGAAGTATGGAAGGTGGCTACTGCAGTTGTGTTCCACCTGCTCAAAAGAACTTTGGGAAGATCAAATATGAAACTCTGCATATGACCAACAGAGCCTTCTCAAAGCCTGCCGAGTTATCTTTAACCACCAGCAGTTGGGCTGATCTTCAAACCATGACCAATAAAATTCACTTTCTGTGAGTCCTAATAACCAAACCAACTCAAGAACATTTTCAGTATCTCTGTGATATGGGTGATGTCAGCTTAACAGAGAGGATCCCAAACCGACCAGCAAAAAGGACTTTCTCTTCCCCCAGAAACAAGCCAACATACAACTGAGTTGTGTTCCTCCCCTCTGCCACAAAGCCGAGTTTGGTTTGCATTCAGGGCCTGATTTCAGAAATCATGGGTCGTGGCTTAGTGTAGACAAACTCGGTCACCTGGGGATTGCCAAACCAACCGTAGTTTAATGTGCGGTGTGAAGTGGATTAATATTGCTGCACAATTTCTCGCCTTCAAAACAAACAGTGAGAAGAAGGTTGTCCCATCACAAATCCTAATGAATTCAGTCAAAATAAAGGAAGCCAAAATAGTCATGGGGTGCAGTGTAAAGCAATCTTCCAGAATCCTTGGAGAAGGCCAGCTTTGGGTCAAGGGCCCATCTGGAATTTTGATACCAGGTGGAAGTCACCCTGCCAAAATGGTTGCGGCCCTCCCAAGATGGTTACCAGAGTGGACACGACCAACCACAAAAACAAACTTCCTTCTGGATACGGTGTCCCTATATTCACCTGTCTGAAAATAGGATACAAGGAAGCACTTTTGTTAACGGAGAAGCTAAAATAACGCGTAGAATGTCATCTGTATGGATGCAGGAGGCGAAATTCAAAATTTTATTTCACTGGAACGTTGGACGGCAGATCAACTGAATGAATTATGGATTATTCTGGCCAGCTACCACACAGAATAGCAGGAATGGGGTCGGGGGTGGAAGCGCAAGAATTTATTCTGGGAGACCAGGCCATACCTTCCACCTCTCTGAACACTTCTTGGAGAAGTCTGCGAAATTCACAGGAACTTCCGGGTTTTTCTTCTTGTGTTCTTCGCGGCAAGTCTGCACAAAGAACGCATAAGCGGACATCTTTCCTTTCGGCTTCTTGGGGTCGCCTTTCGCCATTTTGAAAGAAAACGCTTAAAAAGCAAAAACAAACAAACAATGTAGTTGAAGAACATACCTTTACAATGCCCCAAGCAGCCAAGTGCAGCCCCTTCCACTGACTGAGAAATGGGGAAATATTTTTTTTTTTTAAGTATGATATATATAAATAAAAATGGTCAGGAAAATTCCCAACACATGCAATGCTTTAATTGATCATCTCTATCCCTTTAGACAATCTTATCTTCGTCCCTTTTGATGTTATGGCACGCACTATCCTGGATTATCCATGTCCAAGTCCTCTCTACTCACAACTCTCACACACAAAAAATAAGAAGAAGTACAAAACTAGCTCGCAGGGCCAGAATATTTTGACATTTTAAACAGGTGGGTGCAACACTTGTAGATTTGCAGTCTGGGGCTGGCCCACCCACTCCGTGTTAAACTTTTGGGGAACTTCAATCTTCCCTGTGTCAAGATAGCTGCAGGAGACATCTTCCCTGATGGGGAGGGGGACAGAAACAGCTCCTCTGAAGACAAGTTCAATTCCATCTAAAGATTATTCCATTTAATTGCTGCACACATCACAGGACTGCAGTGCCCCGTTTTACCCAGAGATTGTGGCCATTAATAGGGTTGGTTGACCCCAGAGCCAGCTACTGGTTTAAGTTTGTGGGGAAAAATACATTTGTTATCTCTTTACAAGTTTCCTGCTGAAGGGAAGGATTTGCATTTGCGAGGTTAAGAAAAGATGGGTTTTTTTTTCCTGGGGAGGGGGCAGCTTTCCTTTTGAAACCTTTGCAATCCCGCATTTGCAAAAAAATATATATATAAAATTGAAAAGTATATTATTATATACTTCATTAAACACGAAAGTCAAGTGAACATTTAAAAATGTATCACTGTTATTAATATTACTATTAAAAACTATCTGTGATTGGCATGCTTCCCCAGGAAAGAAAAAAAAAACCCCAAATCCAACCCTTCTCTCCTCTTGCAAAAGTTGCATTAAAAAAAATAAAAAACACGCCCCCCCAGTTCTTTTGCAAAAGTTGCAATTTTTTTATATATATATTTAAAGAAAGGAAACCAAATGCTTCTTTTTCCAAAAGTTGCATTCAAAAAAACAAACAAAAACAAAAAACAACTGCACCCCCCCTCCCCGTTCTATAAATAACATCTTGTGTTTTGCACCCCGCATCTGTAGTAAAAAAAAAAAAAAAAAAGGAAAAAAAGTTTCAGAAGAAGAAGAAATATGGGGGAAAAAATGTGTCCCGGACGTCTTTTTTTGCCTCATTCGCCTCCCCCCCCCCACCCCAAGGTCATTGGGAAAAACAAATACATTTTTTCCCTTTTGGGGCGGGGAGGGAGGGAGGAAGGGGGGGCTGAAAGGAGCACGTGCCCCTCCTCACCAGGGACACCCCCCCCTCTGGCTTTAAGCCTCTTTCCACCCCATATTGGGGGGGGAGGGGGGTCTGCCCTTGGGGGGCTGAAAAAGTAGGGGGGGGAAAGAAATTTTTTTAAAAAAACCCACCCCAAACACCCGTTTTCCCCGGTCCCAATAATTCACCTTCCATTTTGTGAAATGTCTCTTGATGAAAGAAACTGCCGTTCAAATCTCCCCTGGGGCAGTTCTGGGGGTCCAGCGGGGTTCGGGGGGCTCTTGGGGGTCCGGAGCCGAGACCCACCGACGGGGTGCAGGCAATCCGCCTCGGCTGAGGGCTGGGAGAGTCGAGAGCGGAGAGCGCTTCCCTCTCGCCCCCATTCGCTAAAATGGCTTCTCCATCAAGAGCAATGCCCGAGCTTCGCCTTTAACAAAGCCACCGGCGCTCGTCTTCCCCGTTCCCAGCCTCGGGTCGGGCCGCCCTCGGGAGGAGAAAATCGGGACCGGGCTCGTTTTGTAGACCAAGCGACGCTCTTTCCAACCAGTCCGGTCTCGAGACGGAGGAGCCCCGGGAAAGGGGGGAAAAACCGGTCGGAAGGAGGCCTCCCCCCTCCCCGCGCGCGCCGCCTTCCTCCCTTGCTTAGCGCAATCGCCAGTCTTTTAACAAAGGCAGCGCGCAGCCATTACAAGCCTGGTCGCCCCAAGGAGGGAAGGGAGGAAAAGGAACCCCAAAAGAGCCCGCTTCGGGGTTTCCGCGCCCCGCGAAGGGCAAGGGAGGAGAGAGATAAAGAAAAGGGGACGGATGAGAAAGGTTTCGGGGTCCGGGGGCCCCCCCGGGCGGATTTTGCCCCCGCGTCGCTCTCCCTGCCGTCTTTCTCCCTTTAGCTCTGCTAGTGGAACGCCAGCCATATTAAGGCAAACAGACAAACACACACCAGCAAGCCCCAACAGCCCCGCGTCCGCGCGAGGAAGGGCCGGCTCGGGGTCTCGCCGAGGACGGAGCGGGACGAGGGGGGGCTTTTCGGAGAGGGGAGAAGAAAAGCCAGTGGAAACGAAAGGTTTGGGGGCGATCCGAAGCGAGGCGGCGGAGAAAAAAAACGCAAAATAAAAAAACATCCCATTAAATTGGTTTTTTTTTTTGGGGGGGGGGCTGTATTTCACTCTGCATGAGACGCGCAGGACTTAATATTTATTTTTCTCCCCCACCCTTTATAAAAATGACGGACAGCCATTATGAATGCGGGATCAAACGGCAGGCACTGCGCACGGCCGGGCAACTTGAGCCGGCCCGATCCTGCCCCCCAAAGCCCAAGGATTCAGCGCAAATCCGGATTCCCCTTTTCCACCACCCCCCTCCATGCGCTGTGCTGCACCAACCCCATGTTCCATGTTGCCGGAGCCGTGGAAAACCCATACTCCACGGCTGTTGGGGGGGGGCGTGGGTGCGTGCACGGAGGCAAGATAAGAGGTATCTAAAGGCACCCAGGCACGTTTCACACACACACACAGACACACACACACTGCAGATTGGGCAACCCCATTCCCCCCCCCTCCGGAAGGATCCCCTTCTCGCCCCCTGCAAAAAAAAAAACCCCGTACACGCGTGAAGAGCCCCCACCCCCCCACCCACGAGGCAGAGAGAAGAGAAGAAGGAGAAGAAGTGGGGGAAAAAAAACTCCCCTTTCCACCCCCCCAAGCCCGATCTGGGACCAATCGGATTATTTTTAAAAAATTGAAAAAAAAAATCGGGGAAAGAGGAAGGAGGAAAAGAGAGAGAGAGAGAAAGAGAGAAAGAGAAAAGAGAGGGCGGAGAGAGAGAGAGAGAGAAGGAAGAGAAGAAGAAAAAGTCAGAAAGTTGGTGGGAAAAGAAGGGAGGAATTAAAACAAGAAAAAAGCCGGAACGTTTAAGGAGGAAAGAAAAAAACGGAAAGAAAAAAAAAAAACACCAAACCAACCCGATACTGTATCGACGGGCTGGAAGAAAGGGATACATTGCATTTCAACGGGTGCAGAGATGTAATTTTTGCTTGCTTTCTGTTTTTTTGTGTTGTTGTGTTTTTTTTTGCGGGGAAAAAACAAACAAAAAAAGAAAAAAAAAGAGGGCTGGGAATGGAAAATAAAGAGAGGGGGGGGGCAGAAGAAAAGGCGAGGGGGGGCCCGGGAAGAGTCGGGGAGCTCCCCCCGCCGTTGCCCGGAAAAAGTTGTCCCGGCCGCGCGGGGCTGCGGGCACCTACCTGTATTGTTCGCGTGAACCTCAGCCAGACTAAGGCAGGGAAGAAAGCGAGGCGCACGCCCGACGCGCTAAGGCTCGGCGCTGCTGGCGGCGGCTGGTCAGCCTCGCGTTGGCTGCTGCCTCCGAGAGCGGCCTGATTGGCTGCGGGGCTCTGCCGTTTAAAAGAGCCTCCTCGCCTCCCCATTGGCCCCCCGCCCTGCTGAATATTAAGCAGCCGCCCGCGCGCCCATTGGCTGGCCCGGGCCGGGGTCATTCATTC